GCATTACACATTTAAACCTTCAGAGAACAAATGACACTCCACTTAGCAGTTGGGGTGACTTCCAGTGAGTCACAACCCTGTTCTCCGAGGCACAGGAGATATACGCATCAAAGGTGCAGGGGGCTTTTGAGCAGAGAACTCCTGTACAGAAACCTGAGGTTCACAGAGGAATCAAATGTGCAAGTGGCCCTAGGCTGTTATTCCATGTTTTAACTACTTCGAGACATCAAGTTGCTTTAACTGGATTTCCCAATGGATGATCAGCCAGCAATGGGCAGAAGCCTGGCCATTTCTCAGGACCTCCACATGTGCTGGGCAGCACAACAGAGGGTCAAAGTCTTAGAGAAAGTCTTGCTGGCCAAAGCCCTACACTGTCAGGACTTCATAGCCCTGAATTGGCTGTTGTTTTTTCCCCGTGGAAGTCATCTGTGGCAACATACTAAATGTCTATGACACTGCACTAAATACCACCCCTCACTCAACAGCCTGCTCCTTGCCTCTTCACTACTCCCCAATCCTTTGGCGGATTGCTGTTAGGAGCCCTTATACTGTGTTAACCAGAGAAGGGAAGGACAGGAGGAAGGTATTCCCCTTCCTTTCTTTCATCTCGCCACTGTGAGATGGTTTAGTTTCTTTTACTACTCTATTTTATGTTTAAAAAAGGGCCTTTGAAATTCATACAAACGAGTACTTAGCTTTGCCACCAGAAAACAGGAAGGCTGCGCTAGGTAATGGCATCCACCCACCAGAGAAAAAGGGGGAAGTTCAGGCTAGAGAGGACAATACTCTTCCTTCTACTCTTAGGTTAACACGGACAGCCTCAGTCTCATCGCAAATCCTTTCCCGAGCATCCATTTTCTCTGAAATTACACCAGCCTGTGGTGGTTTGACTTTAGGAACTTTCATCTTGTGCCCTACTCTGAACTTTTTGACCTCTCCCCTGTTAGTCCAAGCTAACTAGGAGAGTAAACACAGAAAGGAGAGACTTGGTGTTGGCAAGGGATAAAACCAGCAGCAAATTTCCTTCTCTTTCTTTAATCATGTCTAGTATTATAGCTCTAAAGAAACTCTGAAGATGATTCTTCAAGGTACTGAAGAGAGAGGGTACCTATGGAAACATCTGCAGAAAATGAGATAACATAGAAGATCTGGGACAATATGACACATAACACAGCAATGAAGAAAACAGAAGCATAACAGTGGGGAGAAGGAATCAGTAGAAGGCCAGGGCTGCCTGTCCCACACGATCAAAATTTGTAAATGCAGTTTCATTCAAATTATGAGATTGGTCATAAACTTCATAGGCTTTGAGGCACTTGTTTG